GCTCGGTTCCAAGTCTTTTCCTTAAAGCTCTAGTTCTTTTTTTGTCCCACAAAGTTGAATTTAGTAAACAAACAAAAAGATTAAAAAATATTTGTTTTCTCGTTAAGAATTACTTCACTAAATGACTATTAACTGGCTTTTAAAAATCTGTATTTATTAATGAAAACACATTGCTTAATTACACTACTGATTACAATCTTTTACTAATTCCCGAGTCTAGGAGGCACCTATTAACTAGAAACTCAGCACAGTTTAGAAAAGAAACCACAACAAACTCCTAGAAAAATAAAAGTACTTTGCCACAAATGCTTTTGATCTCTTATCATCCCTTTAATGTTCTCTAACTTTCTTAAAGATTGAGCTCGTGTTGACTATTACTTTCATATTCTCCACAGTTTCCGGCAGCGGTTGAAATGAATTGAATTCTCATCTTCTCGGAATTGATCCAAATATTGGTTTCCTTTGAAGTCAGTTTTAACTTTGCTTCTGGAATAGCAGAGGACGATCAGGATTATTTTCCCAATTTTCTTGACCATAACTGCTCTCGGCATATTTTAACGTGCAACACCTGCCTATTTGGTTTTAAAGCCATTGCAGTGAGCCAAGAGTCTGACTGGCTTGAAGAGAGAAAGACAAATACTATATGATATCACTTATATGTGGAAACTAAAAAAGCCAAACTGGTAAAAACAGAGAGTAGAATGGTGGTTACCAGGGAATTGAGCTGATGTTGTTTAAGGGTACAAACTTGCAAATAGTAGATACATAAATTCTGGAGATCTAACATACAACCTAGAGATTATAGTCAACAGTACTGGATTATAAACTTCAAAGTTGCTAAGAGACTAGATCTTAATCGTTCCTACTACAAAAAAGAAATGATAATTATGTGATGGGATAGAGATGTTAGCTAACGCTGCAGTGATAATCATATTGCAGTATATCAGATCAGCACATTGTATGCCTTAAACGTACACAATGTTATATGTCAGTTATATCTCAAAAAACTGAAAATGAAAGAAAAGAGTCTGACTGGCTTGAAATTTGTACATGATTTGGCAAAATGTGAGTTGAACCTTTAAAGACAAAAGAATATCCTTTAGCTTCTACTGTCCTAATTTCTTTGGGGGAAAAAATTAACAGTTGCAAGGGGGAGAGGCGTGCTGCCTGTAATCATGTGGTGTGTGTAAGAAAAGGCTAGGTTGAGTGCACGGTGCAGCTCTTCTATAAAACAAAACCTTACTCGGGTGAATGAAAGCACCGGTGGGACTCAGACCAGGGAAAGAAATCAACCCACATGTCACTACATTTTATGATGAAAGTAACAAAAGCATGAAATCACTTTTCTAACAATTCAGAAACAACCTACACTTAATTCTCAGTTAAAACTCATTATTGGTCCCTGGTTGAACTTCAGAAAGATTTAAGCTGAAAGAAACCAAGTGTTCAGAATGCACCAGCAAAATTCTCCTTAATTTAATGATTGGAAAAGAATAGGATCAGAAGAAGGTTAGATGTAGCAACAAATCCCTTAAAAAAATCTTAAAAGCCACATGTTGTCACATCAACTGGGACTAGATATAACACTGACTTCTTTCAACAGAATTGGGTAAATATTTGACCTCCAATGTCATTATGGTTAATGTACATTCTAGACCTCAGAGGACATTGAGACGGACGCTTTGCTTTCTGATTGGCTCCCTTGTAGCCTTTGCTTGCTTGGGAAAGACTGATAATATACTGTGTCCTGAACTTGGTGCAGTTCAACTCTTAGCTGTTCAATAGATAAAACAATAATGATCTCATCCTCTGATGATTTAAGTTCATGTGATTTGTAAATCAGTACATAATAATAGTAACTTCTGGGTTAATTATTAACTCTCAGAAAACATTCAGGGCTAACCATTCCTTTATTTAATTCTGAAAAAATTGGGATGTAGTTGGTGCACATACATAAATGTCCCATAAAATAAAAGTTGATTACAATTACACTAATATTTCTAAAACTTAGTATCTCTCTTGCAATTCCCTATAAGGATGCAACAAAGTCCCCTACGTTAAATTACTCATTTTTGATAACTATGTGAGAAGAAGATGCACAGATGGTATTTCTGTGCCATTCTGAGAATGGCATTAAAGCATTTAAATTGTTCATTGGCAACGTATCGCATATTTATATGTGAGTGGCAAGTCAGCTTTTGGCTACATTAATGGTGCAAAAATAAACATGCTTTGGTCTCTGATGCAAAGTTTAAAGTTCTCATGGTAATATCTGTTTCTTCACTTTGCTTACCAGGTACCAGAAAATAGTCAACATTTATCAGTCAAGTGTGTGGATTACACTCCCACTGTGTGTTCTGCGTCAGGCGCCGTGGAGCCTTAGAGAGAAAGACATTCAAGGACTTTATAGTTTAATGGGGGAGAAGGAGACACACCAATGCACGCATGTAAACAAGCAGGGCTGGCGGTGCACAAACAGACGCACAATCCTGACCATCTGTGTAACGACAGAGGCGGGAACGGCGTGGAAGGATAAAGGTGGGTGGTGGAATGAGTGAAGCAGCTGAACTGAGGTGAGTCTTGTTTTGTCAAGGCTGTGTTGGGATTTGAACAGAATTTGTTTTCCATTTCTCAAAAATTGAGGAGTATTTTTGTCCATGTAAATGTCCATATACATATATGGACAGAATTTTTCATTCCATTTTTGGTGCAGCTGGTAGGGGGTGTGTGGGGGTCGAGGGCGAGGAGATGTATTGAAGTAGAGAGAAATGCCCTTGGCAGTGGTTCTCAAAGTGTTGTCCCAACCAGCTTGTGGGAAATACAAATTCTCAGGCCTCACCCCAGACCCACTGAGTCAGAAACTCTGGGAGCTGGGCCCAGAGAGCTGTGTTTTCACAAGCTCTCCAGGGGAATCTGATGCTCACTGGAGTCTGAGAACCACCGCTCTGTGAGGTGGTTCTGAGTCTGGAGTGAAAGTGGTATTCCTCTGAAATGGCAAGTCCAGAGGCCAGCTGATGTCCATAGGAGGCATTCTAGAAGACAGAGCAGCTGGCGAGGAGCGGGCATTTAATGAAGACCTCAAAGCTCACCACTAGAAACTTCAGAGGCTACACTGAGCCCTCTGAAATATTATGTCAGAGCCACGATTCTGAGTTAATGTCTTCAGAGAATTCTAACTTGTGCATTTCCTGACTTTTATGGGCATGCTGAGTGTTGTAATTTCATGAGGCTTTTAAATGTAATTTCCTTTGCTTTTAAGGAAAAGATGAGATGGTGAGGAGGGGGTTTATAGGGGATGGATGGTGGCTGGTAGTGAAATGGTAAAAACAGAGAAACCATTTTCAAAAGGAATAAAACAACAGCAAAGTTATTCTTTAAAGACACTGCTGCAAAGTCTGTTTACCTGTACTGAAACATAATAGAATAAATTAACAATAATAAAAACTAATATTTATGTAACTCTTATGATGTGCCAGGCGTATTCTAAAGTATTTACATATATTGGTGCATTAATCCTCACAGCAAGTTCTGAGGGAGGGCCTATTATTGTTCCCACATGATAAATGAGGCAATTGTAGCACAGAGAGGTTAAAACACCTGCTCAAGGTCACACAGCAAGAGCTGGGACTAGAATGCAGGCTTTCAGGCTGTGTTTTTAACCAGTACACTGTGTTATGCTGCAAGAACTTCAACACTGGATGGTGACTATTTCTATTTTGAAAGAGTGACTCATTGTTCTAAATTGCTTGGCATCTGAAAATTAGGCTTCAGGGCCTGATGACTTTCTTATTTAACGTTCTGGTTGGCCAGATGAGGAGTTCCTGAGTCCACCTGGTTCTCATAGAAGGTAGCTGAAGCTGCTTTCTGGGTAGAGTAAATCAGTTACAAAATACAGGGTAGGCTCAGCGTCCAGGGCAAAGCTTGAAAAGACTCTGGAATGGTCTCCCCTCCACCCAGAACAGATTAACTGGGCCTCAGCAGTCCCTGCAGGGTTGGGAGTTCCTAAGACTTGGGTCCCCTGTGAGTGCACGGAGAGCGGATTCCATAGCGTGGAGGGAGTTGGAGGGAGGAGAAAGGAAGGACTCTGATGCCGTCTTGTCTTCTGTGGGTCACTCTCACAACAAAGCGTAGTCACCACTTATTGGTGAAGAGCGTGGGTTTTGGGGTCGATTGACAGCCTGGGTTTGAGGCCTGACTCCTTCGCTTGCTAGATGTGGGAACTTACGGCTATGCCTCAGTTTCCGCACTTATGAAATGCGGATAGTACTAGTGCTCGCCTTCGTGTTGTTGAGACAATTAAATAAATGATACACTTAAAGTTCTTCAAACAATGCCTGGCACAGAGCAAGCCCTAAATAGTGTTCATTCTTCTTGTTTGCTGACCTCCTGCTGCATGCCCAGCCCCGTACTATAAGCTTTTGAGAACACTGATGCCCAGGTACCACTGTTTCTCACAACAACACCATGACTTAGGTGTCTCCCATTTTGCAGCTGAGGAAACTGAGTCTCAGTGGGGTCATTTGCCCCAGGTGGCACAAGTGGGGCTTTAACCAAGGTGGGCCTGAGCCCGTGGCTTGGCAGCACTGCCGTCCCCTCCCCCGGGCAGACTTCCCCCTACCTGCACCCACTGGATTGAAATAACTGGCTGTGGGGCCCCGGGGACACGGCTACTGACTTACTGCTTTGTTCACACTTTCAAAAGCTGCTTTTGAAGCCGCTTTTAATCACTTCTCTCATCAACTTCCACCACTCTGTGGGAGTCCTCCCCATCGGTTGTCTTAGGGGTGTACCAGCACAAGAAACGTCTGATGGGGCCTGCGATTGGCTGGTGATCTTCTGCCCGCGTGAGTGATTGGTAAATGGTTTGAGTCACTCCCTGTCTTTGAGGGAACAAATGTAGCCTCAGCAGTCATATTCCCCGATACTCCTCACACCTTCCATTGCACTGTCGCTAACACACTGGCATCCTAAACTTGGAGCTCCTTGTTCATTGTTTACACGCGAAGGACCAGCTGGTCCCCATCAGGAGAGAGGGGACTTATGTCAAGGTCCACTACAACCTCTGACTTCCACCCAAGCCTGGTTGCTGTCAGTGTCATTGCTAGGCGCACTGCTAAACTTCATGTTGCTGCCGATTTAATTTGCTGTTCCCTGCTTAGTTACGGAACAGGTTTGAACTTCCTTAGTAGATTGATTTCTTCCCCTGGTGCCTGACTGTGTTCATGTCAGACAAGGTGGGACAGTATGGGGGACCCCAAAATTGGTGCTCTAGATGTATTGTGAGAGACTGAAATTCAAGGGGTATATTAATGGGCTATTAGCTCATATCTGTGCCTGTTTTACTGCTATGTACACAGTAAATCTTTTGACTTTATAATACTTACTTTAAAGTATATTGTATGCCAAGAAAATAAAGAAGCAAGAAATAAAATTCACAGTGTCAACGACTACATAAACCTAGAAATAGAGACTGTATATGACTTTTAGGTATCAGGTTGAAACATACAAAATTGCCAATATTTAATATATATATATATTTTTTCATGAGGAAGATTGTCCCTGAGCTAACATCTCTGCAAATCTTCCTCTATTTTGCATGTGGGATGCTGCCACTGCATGGCTTGATGAGCAGTGTGTAAGTCCGTGCCCAGCATCTGAACCCATGAAGCCCGGGCTGCCGGAGTGGAGCGTGCGAACTCAACCACTACGCCACCGAGCCAGCCTCTAATATTTTTGACTCATAAAATCAGATTACTCCTTGGGGAACAGTGGAGTTAAAAATTAGATGAAAAAAGAAAAGATTCAAAAATATCAAAATAGAAGCCCCCTTCCACCCTCCACATGTTGTCAAGGCAAGTGATAAACTATCTGAAGAATTTTAGCTAGAAAATTTAGCAATATCTTTATTGGACAGCATGGGAAATCTTTATAATTCAGGAAAGATAAATTTGATAAGATAATACCATTGGGGCACTGACTTAACCCATTTGGGTCTCAGTTTTCCCATCTGTAGAATGGGAGCATTGTGCTGGATGATTTCCAGGACTCGTTGTGAAGAGCATAGGACTCTCCAGTGTGAAGAGTCTGAACTTTCATGGACACCTGAAATAGGCATGGCGTTTGGATACTGACTCTCCATGAGTCGGGATGCTCCACACTAGATAGAAAATCCTTTTTGAAGATGTATGGAAAAGGCAGACCAATTTGGCCAAAATTATTGTTTTTATATATGTGTCCAAGGCCTGTTTAGACTTAACATTAAGAAGCATTCCTGAGTTGCTACATTCAGAAAAAAAAATCCACATGTAGCTTGGACCACAAACAGGAGATGATTTTTGTTACTATCAGCCTTGATAACATCTTCCCCATCTCAGTGTGGCTGAGGGAGTGGAACATACACCACGACTCTCCTTCGAGGATGTCAAGGAACTACAGGGTGCTGTGGACATAGAGGGAGCCTTTTCTGGGCAGTTAATAAGCCGATCAGGTAACAGCATTTTACAGATGCTCTGGAGAGAAGCAAAGTCTCCTTGGCAATATCATGATAATGTTCTATTTTCAAGCAAGTCTATCAACAAGGACTAAAGTCAGTTCTTCAAATAGGAATATGATTCCCATTCAAGGAAGTGGCATGATGCTAATACATAACATTGTCAAAATACTGTTAATATGCCAGGAGTTCTTCTAAGTGTTTTAAGTGCATTAATTCTCTTAATCCCGACAATCCTCTGAGTTCAGGATGCTTGTACAGATGATAAAACTGAGGCACAGCTGGGATATAAAGGTTGACAGTCCACACAGAAATAGTTTAGGAAAAGCTGGGTAACCCGGGGAAAAGAGAAACTTAACAGGGAGCAGAAGCATTCTTCTAATGGAGAATACTGAGAGGAACTGGGTGTTTCTATCCTAGTCCCCCTATGATTCATTTAATAGAAGAATGATATTATATGTCATTTAATTATATTACACACACACATGCACACACACACACACATACACGCACAGTTCTCATTCTCAGCTACTCTGTTTGTTGTCTTCATAAATCCTATGATAACGAGTCTTTCCAGGTCTTGATAGAGGTAGATGATGGGTGGGGCCTCACCTGATACTGCAGTATAAGTGCAGGGTTTGGTGTCCTACCGACCTGGGTTGAAAGCCCAACTTCACTTCTCGTCACCTGTGTGACTCAAGTAAAGTGCTGTATGTCACTCATATATAAAATAGATTTAATAATACCTAATTCACAGAGCTGCTGGGAGGTTTAAATGAAATCATGGGCATAAAGTAGTTACAACAGTACCCAGCACATAGTAAATGCGTAGTAAACAGTGACACCAGTACCTTTTCTAGAGTCACCTAGCAAGGTGAGCCTCCTCCTTTCACAACACTCACTTTTCCAGGTTTATCTGGGGTGTGACACGCTATGAACTTGTTCCTCAATGTACTGCAGTGGACCCAACAGACAGAAATATATTTAAAGTAATGAACTTGTTCATTATCTTGCCAATGTTATGGGCCCATCAAACAGGATCCACACTAATCCTGAGAATGAAGAGATAAAGGCAGTGCCACTGAGCCCCGGTTTGTGGAGGCAACTTGTCCCATAAAATCCCTCTACTAGACTCCCCTTTGCCTCCTTTGCTTTCTCCATTGCTGAGCACCAAGCCAGAGCTACGTGTATTTTCATTCCCAGTGTTCTCGTATGTTCATTTTTGTTCACCTACTAAAATGTAGTGAGCTTAAGACAAGTTCAATTAAAATGAAACATAAATATTTTCTTACTTTCCGTGTCATTAGAAACTCTCCCTCCACTCCCCGACATTACTTGGCACCTGCCCAAAGGAAACATTTTCCCTCTTGGCCCCAGTGTTTAAAGCAGAGAGGAAACAGATCTGCTTAGTCTGTCTCGACAGGATCCTTATGTGGAGAGAGGAGCAGAGGTTTCAAAGGAGTAGAAAATAGAGTACAAAGTAGAAAAGTAAACAAAGAGAAAAAGGATGGAGAATGGAAGCTAAAAGAGGAGAGAAGAAAATGAGTTCATAGAACAAGCCTAGAATGGATGATTTCTGGAAGATGGCATCTTACTTTGGGTTTCTGCACAGAAGGTATAAAGCTCACTGTTAGGTGATGACCTCCCCCAGAAGAGAGTCCAATACAGCATTATTCCTGGTTACTCCTGTTGAATCCCAACATTGTTCAGCATAGCTGGTAGTTGAGGTTTATGCTCTCAGGTGATAGAACATCTTCTCCAGCAGCAGTAGCACTAATGTTTATTGAGCATTTACTATGTGCTATGAAGTTAACAAGCATTAGTTTCTTTAATCCTTAAAAAAAATCTTGTGAGCTAGATACAATTATAATCCCCATTTTAAAGATGGGAAATCTGAGGTTAGGGAGGTTACAACTAGTGGATGATGGAGCCTGGATTCAAATCCCAGCAGTTGGACCCCAGAGCTTGTGCCCGTGTCTCATTCTACAGTGCATTCCATGGTTTTGACACCTTTTCCAAGTTCTTCCTCCTACAACTCCTCCCCCTCCTCCTCCTCCTCCTCCTCTTAATCATCTACCATCCCCTCTTTACATAGATCCCACCCATAGACTCAGGTCTATTTTCAAGTGATGGATCATCCAATTCTATTTCCTATCAGAGAGATAAGTTACTCCTATGGTCATCTTTCCAGTAGTCACTAATCCAGTAAAATCAACATCAGTCTTTGCAGAAAATTCAAGTAGAGGGAACTGCTCCATCTAGAGCTCCATTTCCAAACAAGTGATTTGTTCCTTCCATGTAGTTTCCTTCCTCCCTTCCCCAGAAGCCTCTGCCTTGTCTAAACATGAGGCTTTCTATTCCAGGTTAGGCCCCAACACACTGACCCATGGGGACCTGCACAGCCCGTGGCCTCCTGGAGATACCTGGAGGGCATCATAGACCTTTGCCTCTTCTCTTTTCTAAACAACTATGTCTCTATTTCAATCTTTCTTCCTAGGAAACTGCTCTTCCCATACTCAGAACTCTCTCTTTTTCTCTTTCTTTCATCCAGTCATTTAGCATCTTCAATTTCTGTTCTGCTCACAATACAGTCAACAGTGAGGTGAGGGAGGAGTGGCTACTGCTTTACATGGTGCTGTTTTTTTTTTGTTTTTTTTGGTGAGGAAGATCAGCCCTGAGCTAACATCCATTGCTAATCCTCCTCTTTTTGCTGAGGAAGATTGGCCCTGGACTAACATCCGTACCCATCGTCCTCTACTTTGTACGTGGGACGCCTGCCACAGCATGGCTTGATAAGCAGTGTGTAGGTCTGCACCTGGGATCTGAACCTGCAAACCATGGGCGGCTGAAGCCGGGCATACGAACTCAACCACTACACCACCAGACTGGCCCCCATGGTGCTCCTTTCAATCGGCCCATCCTTACATTCATGTAGAAAAACTTCATCCTGAAAAGTGACACAGAGGCAGCTGAAATCCAGATTGGAGTTTCTCTGATCTTCATCTATGGAGGAGGCTGACACATTTGTAAAGAGGACAGAGTTTTCACTTTCAAAGTCCAATTCCAAAGAGATAAATCTCTGACCCATAAAAGCAGTAGTTGCTAAAACCCATAAAAGTAGTTGAGCCAAATGTTCCCAGAGCAGACTGGCTCTGGCGGTTCATTTGATCATAGTGTCTCCCAGTTACGAGGTGGAGGACATTTGCTAGCTTGTGATTTTCGGTAGTTGTTCTCTATGCAGCTCAACTTCCTCACCTATGAAATGAGGATAATAAGAATAACTACTCACAGGGTTGTCATGAAGAATATTATAAATAGATCTTAGAACTTTACCTAACATTGGAAGTCCAATATGCGTTACCTATTATTATCATTCGTTTAATACGCTAGACCTCCTCTTTCTTATTTTAGTAGTATCAATCTCCCACTCATCCTCCCTCCCTCCCTCCCTCCCTCTCTCCCTTCCTTCAGAATGAATGTATTTACTTAGTACCCAATATGTGCCAGACACTGTGCTGGACTCTGGAATACAATGGTCAATAAAGTGATAGAGTCCCTGCCTTCATGGATCTTACAGTCTAGTGGGGAGACCAGGCAGAGATTAAACAATCATCCAAGATCGTGTAAATGTCCTGTGTTACATTCTGTGAAGGGTTTATGAGCTGGTTGATGGTGCCAAGGGAGTTTAACACATGGGGATGTGGCCTATCCAGGGAGAAGAGTGTCTTCCTCAGGTGTCCTTCAGGAGCTGATATGGGCCAAGAGGTAAAAGGTGAGTAGGAGACAACTCGGCAAAGCAGGGAGGGAGGAGTGTTCCAGGCAGGGGAATCTGGGTGATGGGAGCAGAGAGTGAGGAGGGAGGAATGTGATGCAACAGGAAGAGGGAACAGCGAGGGAGGCACAGGCTATGCAGAGCTCTCTGGGCCAAATCAACTAGTTAAGTCTTTGGAGCAATGGGGAGCCAGGGGAAAATTCTGAGTTAGGATTTATGTGTATGTGTAGGGTATTCAGATTTTAGTAGTAGTGTTTGAGTTTACAAATGATTACTGTGAATGAATTACTATGAATTAATACTGTGAATTAATTAGTTACTGTGAATTAATGTGAAGAATGGGTTGGAGGGGGGGGCTAAAGAGGATGTGAGAGGCCAGTGAGAAGGCTACTGTAGTAATCTACGAGAGAGATGACGTCACATGGACCATGTTGCTGGTGGCCAAGGTGGAGTGATGTGGATGGATGTGAGTGGCATTAACAAAATTCCTAACATTTGGAGATGGATGAGGTTGGGGATGGTGCAGCGAGAGCTGAGTGTCATGGCTGACTTCACTAATTCTAATGAGATGGAACATTTTTCCTTTTGTTTCCCTCCAGTGCCCAAGAGGTCCAGGTTGGTGTAACACTTGGGGCCTTATATAGAGTTGGAAGTCAGCAGACCCAACACATTTGAGAAAGGCTACTTGGGCTGCTGATTAGCCAAAATCAGAGGAAGTGGACCTTCAACCCTTGTCTTTGTTTTGTTCCAGCTGCAGAAATCATTTTTGGTTGCTCTCTGACTCAAATAAACAGTACTCCCTGTCCTTATCTCTTGGAGTGTCAGTTGCACTTCTACATTTTCACTGGAACGTGATTCTCACTGACAGTAGAAAGTTCGGCACCCAGACGTGCAGCTGTGAAAATACTTGCTCCTCTCCAGAACTATTAGTACATCTGGGGAACATGTCCCAGTGCCAACCACTCACTGGTCCTGAAGTGACCCTGTTATTTGGAGGTAGTAGAGGAAACGATATTTTCAAAACCCCCAGTGGCACTCTCTTTGAGCATCGAAAGGTGTAAGTGATAAAACGCTCACTAGACTCAAAGACCAGGGAGTAAATGGGGGCTGGATACTCCCCAGACTCTACGTGTCAGCAACACATATCAGAGCTCAGTGAATAACCCAGGACCAAGTGTTCTCCTCAGTGGAATAATCAGACAACAGAGCTGGTCAATTTACAAGAGCTAACTATCTTCATCTCTCCCCGCTTTAGTGTTTCTAATACAAATAAAACCCAATCTTTAGCCATGTTTAAGAGCACAGGACAAAGACTGCTAGATGTTGAACTGTTTTGAGTGGAGCCCGTGTTTTATGCATCTTTGTATCCAAGCACATCCCTGGTGCTTGTCACGTGGCCGATTCTCAGTGAGTATTGGTTGGATAAAGGATTCCTCTACATTTTCATGGGGTATTTCTACGGTATGGGGAGTTAATCAATTTTTGCCCACCACAGTAGAGATGGATGCTTCCTGTACTCCATATTTATTTTGGATGCTATTTAGCTACAAGGATGTTCTAAAATGAAATCATAAGGAAATCAGTTTTAGCACGATTTTACATATACAGATAGATCCACTTGCTGACTAGTGCGGATATGGGTGCTCTCCCTGGAAGATGCTTCTGCAACCTGAATTGCACTAGAATGAGGTATTGATGGGGAAGGAAGAGAAAGTAAGATAAAGCTCACAGCTTATATTCTAGATGGATTGCTATTTTAAGAATGGATTTCAGGTGCTTCTCCTGTACCTGGCCCAGGCACTGGAGATTTAACAGTGGTTTGTGATCTGACATGAACCAGAACATGGTCCAATGGTCTTCTGTCCTTTGAAGCAGTTGATCCTTTCTCTTGATCAGTATTCTGTACTTTCCCACCATCAGCTCCCCGTCAGGGCCCCACTCCTTCTGCTCTGTCCTGGTGGAACAGTCCCTTGACCTCCATTTTCCTACTACTCTACTCTCGACTTCTCCTTGTTGCTAGATTACTTTGTTACCAGTTCTCAAATCATGGTTCTCAGAGCAACATCATTAGCGTTGCCTGGAACTCATTAGAAATGAAATCCTTGGGCCTTACTCTGGACCTACTCAAGAAGAAACTTTGGCTTTGGGGTGGGGCCCAGCAATTTTGTTTCAACAAGCAGGTGATCTCCAAGGTGAGAACCACTGCTGCACGTAGAGCTGAGTTCTCAGCACATCACCGCTTTGCTCAACGCCCTTTATTGTCTTCCTGCCAAAAAGCACGTGAGCGTGTCCTTCTCTCCAAGGCCTTCTGCCATTGAGCACCAGCTCATGTGTCCCTATCCATGGAGGTGTGTTCCACACTGTGATCCTATAGGGTTACTGGCTCTTCCCTCTGCTCTCCTCCCTCCTCTCTCTGTTAATGTTGGGTCCTCTGCTAGCAATGCCCCCTCCCCTCATTCTTTAAAGACATTTAAAAATTAATATTTATGTAAGGAATTCATACCTGTACCTTTAAAATCAAATAGTACTGAAGGGTTTATAAAGAACCAGGACAGGCCCTCCCCCACCTCACAACCCCAATCCTTCCTATCCCCCCAGTTCCCTTCCCCACAGAAACAACTTTAGCCATTTCCACTGTAGTTCTTCTTATGTTTATATAACTAATATGCAAATACTTCTATTTAAAAGTAATTCAAAAACAGTATCTACTAACATCTTGTCATGGTAGATAAAATTCGAATAGATACAATTGTAGGTGGATAAAATTTGGTCAACACCCCATTCCACTCTTTCCTCGTCTCAATCCGTCCTCAGTTAAATCTTGATTCATGCCAAGCTCATCTTGGCATGAATGCTTTCCTGGAATGCTTTCAGATACTGCTCCTCCCCTGCCCCCACAGAGCTCTATCTCTCTCTTAGTGCACTGTCCCCCTGGCCCTTGTATTACAGCCACGTCTGTATGTGTGTGTCTCCCATCCCCACCAGCTTGTAAGAGCCAGGGAAGTCTCACCTGTCTTTTACTTTCTCTGAATCCTCCCAGGGCAAAGCACAGGGCCTGTGATATAGGGCACACTGAGTAGATGTGGCCAATTTCACCATAAAGTAACATATTTGCCTGACCTTTGAAGCTTGGTGGTGCGACAGCAGTACTAGGAAGGAGTCTTCCTTTCCAATGTGGTTTTCCAACATTCTTTTGGGGAATATTAAACCAGAGTCAGGAGACTTGAGCCAGACTGTCTTCTCGGTGACTTCTTCTAAGACCTTGGGAAGGGCACTTGATGGCTTTGCTTCCATTTTTCCATCTATAAAGTGGCAACAGTAATATCTATGGACAGAGTTGTAGTGAGGACCAAATCCAACAGCACAAGCTATCAAGTATAAGGGTGTTGCATTGATTCCTTATGTTTAAAATGAAAAGGCATGCCATTTTCTGATTGCACATGGGGCTATAAGGGACATTAAAAACAACTTTTAAACAGAAAACTTCATTTTTAGATTACCCAGGGGGTCTTTCTTCCCAGATCAGCCTAAGATTTTTTCAGGGGAAACTGTATGCCCATCATCTGAAATTTGAAGCAAGAAAATTCAAACCTTTAGGACCCTTTGTTTATTCTTACTTGTTGACGAGAAACCAGCATTACTGCCAACCTTTCGGGCTTTGAAGGGATTTCAAGCTTTATTGTGATGTGATGGTTGAAAAATAAAATCTACCAAAGGCCCATTTTCTAAGCCCTTGTCTGGCCTTACCCATTAGAAAAGTGTGAGCTACTGTTCTATCAAAACTAATTAAACCTTAAATGTATAACCAGCTCTCAATCACCAAGGTTAGTGGGACTACATGCATACATAATTATATCTTAAATTTATACAGTGCTTTGACTTCTTCACTGTATTGCGTATATAAAATAGATGAATTTTTTTGATCCACAAATAAGGTGAAAAGAAATGTTGGAATCAATAATTTCAACTTTGTACCGTTCCAAAGCTATTAGAACTAGTAAAATTGTCTAATAGGACTTTCATCACCCTTTCTTCTGCAGCCGCTGTCCACTTCCCAGCACTGACAGTCAGTCCCTCAGCGCTGAAGAGCAAGCAGAGGAATGTACAGACCGGGGAGGTGGTAAGGTAGCTTTTCTCTCACCAGAGTCCTGTCCTTCCTTCATTTATTGCATCCCACTTACGATCAGCAGTGCTGGATGCTAGAAGAAAATGGAGCAATGTCCTCAAAGTTCTAAAGAAAAATGTTTGCTTTTGGGGACAGGAGGAGGAGAGGATGCTAGATGCCTTTACTGTTTAATATCTTTCTTTTATCCCTGATTCAGAGAGAATAGCCATAAATACCCTGTCCGTAAAACCAGACTTTTCCAGTTTTCTAGCCATGTAACTAAAAATTGATAAATACTGTGTACTACATGCAAATGTGAAGACGATACACTGCAATATCTCATAAACTATGTGCTACTGGAGGGGAAGGACCATATCTTTTTGTTCTTAATGCTCAGCATCTGGTACAGGGCCTGGAACATCATAATCTTCCAAGAAATGTTGCTGAATGAATTAATCTGCCATTGTACTGATCACCAAGGTGATTTAGCTCATCAGGGCCACTGGGCAGTGTCCTTCCCTGCATCAGTGCACGGGTCCTAAAGGGGCATCTTCTGGATGGGACCGCGATTTCATTCTTGGGGGTGTATGAATGAATAGCTATGTTCTCCAGGTGGTACCTCCAAACAAGTTCTCAAGATCAAATACTCTCCACTTATAGGTCAATACACTTAACAAAGCCACTGTCCTTTATATACAGTAACTTCAGTACAAGATTATAATTTTACAATTAAAAATTTTTGTTTGTGATTGAAAACACTTCATTTCTAGTAGGTTTGCTGGATATGGAGGGTAGTTTTAACATTCACTGAGTGTTTACTATGAACCAGGACTATGCTCAGCACTGTATACCTGATATCTCATTCAGTCATCACAACCTATGAGGTTCTTATTATCACTGCTTTACTGATGAGAAAACTGACTTTAGACAGATTGGTTAACTTGCCCATAAGTGGCAGAGCTAGGATTCAGATAGCTGTTTTCCTAACTGCAAAACACTCTGCTGGTTGATCTCCAGCTTTAGTGTACTGAAAATCATCTAAGGGAGTTTGATAAAAATACAGATTCTTAGGTCTCACTGCTAGAGAATCAGCAAGTCTAAGGCAGGCTCAGGAATCTATATCTGTAAGGATCACCCGGGTGACTTAGATGCAAGTGGCCCACAGACTAGACTTTGAGAAGCACTGCCCTGGACTGTGAGATGTCAAATACGCAGTGGGAATTACTTCTTATTTAACGTCTTTGATTCGACATGATTTTCTTCATTGTGGACACGCAGTTGTTCCAGCACTATTTGTTGTAATGATCATTCTTTCCCCACTTCTTGTAGTTTCATTTTTGTCATAAATCAAGTGTCCACATAGACATGGGTTCTGAACATGGCTCTCCTGTTTTATTTTTTCTATATAATTCTTATCAACATCCACTGTAAACACTCTTTGCGAAATTCCACTGTGGACCAAAGGGCAGGAAACCTTGGAAAACCCCATGGATCATTTTGTGACTGGACATGATATCTGTTAAATATAGAGATGCCCATTCAGAAAGCAATGCCCAGCAATTCCTGGAATCCTCATTTAAATACGTCTATTTGGCCTACCAAGTACAATCTCTGATATTTAAAAAAAATCTGTCTACAGCTCAGTAACACCCAAGAATAACTCTTTTTTCCTCTCCATTTTCATAGCTCTCCTTCCCCAAAACCTCTTTCATCAAATCAGCAGTACAGCATTTTGGAAAACAAGTCATCTCTTATTAAGAGAATCTTATCTTACGTTCAGATGTCATTAGGAAAGAGAGAGAAAATACAGACATAGTAGTATTTACCTCTCAGGTGTCTTGCTTTTGAACAAACCTTCTCCCTTCCAGCAATTTGCTGTTGCTCAATAGGGTTCCTATGGTAAATTTAGCTTGATTCTATCTCATTTTAAAAAATGATGAAAACAATAGATTATTACATATTTGCCCACTGGAACAAAAAACTTCCATTTAAATATAGTTTGATGCCAACAAGAAACTTGGATATCCTGTCAAGCAAACTCTTAAAACCATTTTTTATTTTCATAGTATTATACGATACAGGTTAAAAAGAAAGCATTTGTGATGAATCACAGGTGAGGAAACTGAG